TTAAAAGTGTGATACTCCTTTTCTGCCTACAGCCCACCTAAGGAATAAAATTTGTCCTCATGATTCCTTTTCTGCTTACAGTCCACCTAAGGAATAAAATTTGTCCATCTGCAGCATAGTAAGAGGAGTAGCTGCAGAGGTGAGCTGCCAATGGCAGGTTGAGATGTGGCCCTGCCCTTCCATTACCAGTTTGAGATTCCTGATGCTTACCAAGAATCTGGATTTTATCTGAATGGCCTTGGATTAATTACACTTTGGTCTTCTTATCTGTCTGTATATTCGTGTGTTAATTAAGTGTGAGCTTTTCAATTGCCTGGATTCTAGCCTGTCCCCTGCAATTCTCAAGCTGTGTCACGTTGAGTAAGTTGTCCACTCTCATCAGTAAACTGGATCTGCACAGCCATGGTACCAACATCAAAGATTCACTGTGGATGAGAGGAGGTCATGTATGTAAAGCCCCTGGAACATTGCCTCACATACAGTAAGTGATTATTAAATGTTAATGATTACAAGGGCATGTGTTACTGCTGTTCCTTTGCAGCTCAACAGTGTTAGTGATCATCCTCTCATTGTCATAGCCATTGTGGTCATCTCATCAACACCATCATCGCCATCCCATCACTACCACATCCTGCTATCACATCCATCCCATCATCTCACAATCACTACCCCCCATCATCATCACCACCATCCCCACCCCATCCCCATCATCACCATCATCATCTTGTCATTCCCATCAGCGTCATCACCAACTTCCCCGTCATGATGTCGAAGCTGAGAGATCCCTCTGCTGCTCTCCCTTATGGTCATCTTATGAAAAGGAAGGCCCTAGATAGAGGAATTTTAATAATGTGATATTCATAACATTTATTGAATACTTATAATGTGCCAGTCATTGTTCTAGGCATTGGAGATAGAAGACTAAGCTAAATAAAGTTCTCATTCATGGAACTTACTTTAATGAGAAGAGCTGGCTAGTAATAATTAAATTAGCAAATAAGTAGTATGTCAGAGAAAAACACTAGGGAGAAAATAAAGCAGATAAAGACAGACAGTTTTGGGGTATTTGGGGGTATTTTGGAGTTGGTATTTTATACAGGACAGTCGAGGTGGCATTTGAATTGAGAAAGTGAAGGAGACCACCATGGGGATACCCTGGGGTGAAGTTGACCAGGCACAGTAAACAAAATTACAAAGGCCCTGAAGTAGAAGCATCCTTGTCATGTGGAGCAATGAGGCTGGTGTGGCTGGAAGGCAGTGAGTAAAGGGATTAATTAGATCAGAAAGGCTGCATCGGGAAGAACATGGGGGTGGAGAGATCATTGTAAAAACTCTGGCTTTATAATGGACCCATGCTAGCTTTTGTGCTGACAAGAGATGACAAGACAGCAAGTATTTAAGCAGGGAGCCAGTGTGGAGGTTATTTTAGTAACCCAACTATGAGCTGCTGGTGATTGCATTAGTGGTGTAGCTTGTGGTGGGGGTCACAGGAAGTGATGCTGGATATAAGCTGAAGTCCACAAGATTTGCTAATATATTGCTTTGGATACAGGAGAGCGGAAAGAGAAAGGGTCTATCCTAGCTCTCCAAAATCATATTATGAAGGAGGGCCTCTATCCCGGCCCAAACTGTACTCAGTTTGAACAGCGTTCAGGCTCTGAAGGCCTTATCAACCTGGAACAGAGAAGAGGCAATTGACATTCCTGGGGGCTTCTATTTAGGCATTCTGACTGAAATGTGGGAAACCAACAGAGCTCAACCTTATAATTTACAGTCCATGCAGTCAAAGGGTTTTCGGAGGTATGTCCTGGCACAGCTAGATGCCCAGAGGGGTATCTCTGCCTCCTCTTCTTCACCCACATTCCTGACTATCCTACACACTTTCAGGGAGGAAAGGAGGAAAAGGGATGGAGATGAAATCAGGAAGAAAAAGAGAGGGTAACTCCCTAAATTATGATGTGCTGATTCAGAAAATGGGGCAGGAGAGTAGAAGTCTCTAAGTTCCTTCCTGCTGTAGACGACACACTTCCACAACTGCTCATCAGCCTTCGCTGGGTGTAACCAAATGCCACAGTGGAGTGAGCCCTACTTCAGAGGAAAACACTGCCCGCTTTTAAAGTTAAACACATCATAGCCTGTGGTATGTAAGCCACATATGGTGTTGGGAGCTCCAAGAAATAATGATGAAAGGAAACCGTTGAAATCTGGACACAGAATTTCTGTGAAGCTATACTTGCCCCCAGTGATTCTGCAAATGGTGTTAGCTGCCCTTTCTTCACCAAACCTTGCTACAAACCCAGTATCATACGGTGTCTTTCATCAAATCCTCACAACAACCCTGTGAAGTGGTTCTCCTGTCTTATAGATGAAGACACAGAGGTTCAGAGGGGTCACACTGCAGTCAGTCATGCAGTTGAATTTGAATCCAAGTGTCTATTCCAGAGCCTCTGTCTTTAACCATTATACTCACTGCCTCCCAGTGAATGAGAGGAAAACCCTGAAAATGGTAACCATCTCCTTTCCCCACTATTCAACAGAGGCTAAAAGCTGAGAAACCATTCCTTTTCATCTCTGGCCTGCAGTATATCAACTTTTACAAAAATCTAACTGTAACTGAATTATTTTTGCTAACAGAGGCTTATTTTCTCTTAGAAGTAGATTTATGCAATAATAAGAGAGCTCTTTAGAGATACACTTTACAGAAGGGGTGACCCTGAAGTCCAGAGTAGAGAGTGCACTTCTCAAGGTCACAGAGTTTGGTGACACAATCACATCTCAAAAAGTAGGCAGGGCTTCTGCTCCAGGCCAGAGTTTGGCTGGGCCCAGCAAGCCTCTCTACATTGTTGCTGTCTTTGCCCTTAACATGGATGACTGCCTGAAGAAGAGCGGTCTGTTTTTGTGCATCATTTTAAACATAACTCAAACTTACCTGAATCGTTTCGAAACAAGGTTCTTCTCAACCTTCAGTTGCGTTAAGTCTTTGGTTTTCCTCTGCTGTCTCTGCACCCTGTGGGTCAAAGTCCTGTGCCCTGTAGGAGGCTTCTACTATAACTTCTGTTTCTCCCTTAATGTGGAGACATTCCTCTCTGACTGGGGCAGATCATTATGTTATAGCAGGTTCTAGTCTAGAAACTGCTCATTTACTCTGGCCTCCCACACTGATAGTGTGTCTTGTGCCTGAATGGCTGGCTTCTATGGTCCTCTGCAATGTGGCCTCACTCCACACAGCTCATCTCTATATGCAATACACACCCTTTATTCCAAGACAGGTGTTCTGGGCTCACCCCACTTCCGCCCCAGAAATATCCTCCCTGTGTCCTCCTATGCAAATCAACTCTTCAAATCATTCTTCATTTTGTACCCTATGTACAGCCCAAGGTTTGCCTTCCAAGTTCTCTTTATATTTCTATTCTCACCTCTCAGATGTCAGCCATTGGCATGTTCCTGCATAGTTCTCCAAGTGCAATGCAGATTCCATTAGGGCCGGCACATACGTGTTCATTCATTCACTAGATTTTAAAAAGCATCTTATAAGCGAAGATACAAAGAGAAGCGTAAGCAATGGTTGCTTCCTATCCTCAAAGGAAGAGAGACTTATCGTTGACACACATCTGTCTGGTTTATAGTGGGACCTTAACAAGGCTTTGCTATACAAGTATATGATGTAAATATTATATATGTAATATATATGTGAACATATGTAATACATACACACACACACACACACATATATAAAATGACTCTTGTTGCAATTATTTGCTATGTCCTGTGAGAGGTAGTTTTAGTGGTGTTAAGAAGGGAAAGTATGAAAGTGGTGGTATTTGAGCTTGGCCTTAAGGACAGGAAGTATTTATTTTTCTTAAACAGATTGGGAAGGTGGTACAAGAAGAAGAAACACATGCCAAGCACACAGGAGGAAGCAGATTCAATGGGGAAGCAGGGGAGTCCTATGCCTGCCAGGGGAACCAATGATCTTGAGTGAGAGTGGGCATGTTGCTTAACTTCCCTGGGCCCCAGTTTCCTCCCATTTGGTGGTGATTAAGCCACACAGCTTTGGCTGAAGCAGAACTAGGTTCAAATCATGGCTGTGTGTGACCTTGAGCCAATCAGTGGGGTTCAGCCTCAGTTTCCTTCCTACAAAATGGGAAAAACAATTCCTTTCAGGTCTTTTGTGAGGTTTTAACAGCTCACCTCTACAAAAGCAGAGTTGACAAGCCTGAGCTGTGTCCCTCTCCGTGTGGCTACTGCGGGCTTCTGGGCACCCAGTCCGGCGCCTGTCAGGAGTAGGGACTGTGGAAAACCTGTGTGACCCCCTAAAGGAAAACTGAATCAAGAGGGTTTCTGAAAAAGAGCCGTCCCCAGCAGACCAGCTGGGCTAACTAAGGGACGCTCCCTAACTGCGTGGCCTTGGCCAGCCACTCTCACAGCAAACATGCCTGCGAAGCCCACTGGCTTTTACAGACAAGCCCTTGAGGCCTGTGCCTTCAAACTCACGGGACGAGACAAGGCCCAAGCCGCCGCGGACTTGGAGGACGGCCTGGGGTGGGGGTGGGGAGATCCCCCGGGCCGGAAAGAGAGGGGTTCTGCGCCCGCCCCTCACCCCCACCCCAGGGGCGCCCTCCACTTCCTCCCTCGCGCTGGGCCCAGTGCTCAGGGCCACCACCCCACCTCGGCCGTCCAGCCACCCACCCCGGGGACCCTCCGACGCTGCTGGGCCGCCAGCCCGGGCGGTGGGCGCCCCCGCCGCTCGGCCACCTGGGCCACCCTCCTCTCTCTCTCTCTCTCTCTCTCTCTCTCTCCTCTCTCTCTCGAGGGGTCGTAGCGGCGGGAGGAGGGGCCGCCGGCGGCCGGCGTGCGTGGCAGGCTCTCCCGGCTCGGCTCGCTCGGCCTCCCTTCCCGGGAGGCGGGGTCGGCGCCGCGGCGGCGGCAGGCCCCCTCCTCCTCCTTCCTCCTCCTCCTTCCTCCTGGGCCGGCCTCTTTCCTCGCCGCCCGCGCTCTCGGCCGCTCCGACGCCAGCTTGCGCCCGCGTGCCGCTCGCTCAGCCCCGGGGGAGCCCCAGCAAGTTTCCCGGGCCGCGCGCCCCCCACCCCCGCTCGCCTCGCCGTCGCCGCCGCCGCCGCCGCCATGCCCTCGGCCAAACAAAGGGGCTCCAAGGGCGGCCACGGCGCCGGGAGCCCCTCGGAGAAGGGCGCCCACCCGTCGGGCGGCGCGGATGACGTGGCGAAGAAGCCGCCACCGGCTCCGCAGCAGCAGCAACAGCAGCCGCCGCCGCCGCCGCCCGCGCCGCACCCGCCGCAGAACCAGGCGCACGGCAAGGGCGGCCACCGCGGCGGCGGCAGGTCTTCGGCCACCGCCGCCGGCGCCTCGTCCCCGGCGTCCTGCTCCCGCAGGCTCGGCCGGGTGCTCAACTTTCTCTTCTACCTCGCCCTGGTGGCGGCGGCCGCCTTCTCGGGCTGGTGTGTCCACCACGTCCTGGAGGAGGTCCAGCAGGTCCGGCGTAGCCACCAGGACTTCTCCCGGCAAAGGGAGGAGCTGGGCCAGGGCTTGCAGGGCGTCGAGCAGAAGGTGGGTACCCCCCTCTCACACCCGATCCCCCATCCCGCACTGGCGGGGGACCCCGAGCCCCCTCGTGCACTCCCGGCCTGCCTGCCCAGGCCCCGTGGCCCCAATCCCGCTGTCCGTCGTTCCCCGGAGGTCCCAAGACCCCCTTTGTTAATGGTCACGGAGGAATGGGCCCGAGGGATGGACCGCTGCGACGATGGCCAGGCCCGTGGGAAAGGGTGGGCCAAGGGCTTGTCACTGGACATTAGCGGTGACCTGTAAGGAAACCGGCAGGCTCTGGGGAGTCCATTCTTTTTGGATTAGGAACTGCTGAATGGGCAGAGTTGTCTGAAAAGGAGGTTGGAAGGGACGCCGGCGCATCCATCCCTGGATGCCTCGGGCAAGGCCGCACCTTGGCTCTGCCGGTGGAGAGAGACATCGGAGCCCGTTTTTATTAGACTTTGGGGAAGGAAAAACTAGTATTCTTAGTCATTTGGTAAGTTCAGATGAAATAGTTTCTATCTTTAGGCCCCTTGGCCTTTACTGGGCTAGAGTGCCCATGTGGGCCATTGCAGTAGCCTACTTTAGCTTTAGAGGAAAGGAAAGGCCAAAAATATTAGGTCATATTGGAGAATAGTACTAGTAGATTCGTTTATGTGGGGTGTAGAGGGCTTACTCACATATCATCTAATCCATAGAGCCACCCTGGGAGGAAGGGAGAGAGGGAGACTGATGGTTTTGACTCCATTTTCCAGACTAGAAAACTGAGGTTTAGAGAGATTAAGTGAATTGACAAAGAGCCCAGCTGATGAGTGAGTGGCAGATTGTATGGCAAAGTCTAGGCCACTGCCCAGTTAAGAGTCCCTAGGGGCCTGTCTCAGGGATGGCTGGATCCAACTCAAGGCAAAATTGCAAAACCCTTTCGTGGTTTTTCCAGACCAAGTGCAGCCCCTTGGATTGCATTCTCCCTCCATCTTCTACCATGTCATTGCTCAGAGAAAGTTGGTTGCAGGACTGAAACAAAAAATCCCGCCACTTCTGAGCCGGAACTGCTGTCTCCTTTTCCCAGCATGCTGCAGGTCCTGCCAAGTCCCTACTTTTGTTGAGCGTGCAGCACTAGAATTTCCTCTTAAGACTGGTAGAGCAACTGGAGTGAGTCAGCCTGCTATGCTGCAGGCCAAGGGAGGTGACTTTTCCAAGAGAATTAAGTAGGCAGTGCTGCTTTGCCTATCCTGAATGTCATATCATCCTTAAAAAATAGACATCCTGCTGGAGCCTAATCACCAGCCCCGTTCCTCTCTTCCGTCCACCCACTTGCTAATCAATCATAATATTTATTGAAGTCTGATAATCATACAGCTCTGCGTAGGCGCTGTGCCTCCATAGGGCACAGAGGAGCGAAAGGCACAGATCATACTCATGAATCAGCACGGAAGTAGTTGTCAGTCAAGGGTAACTCCTGCGCAGGTTGCCAAGGAGGAGGGTGTGGAGTTTCCCTGAGTCTGCCTGCCTGTATCCCCATACTCGGGCAGTACCAGTAGTTGATGGTGAGAAGTGTTGAGAGAAGGGATATGAACACACAGGTACGGGGGAAGTCTTGTACATACATGCTCCAGGAACAGGAGATGGCTACCCTCCCTGTGGCAGAGTAACATATAGGAAATTATGAGAGAGGAAGTTGGAAGTTGAGGTCTTGAATCCAAGTTGAAGAATTTGGGTGTTAGTCCCATGCTTCCTCCTTATCTCTTCTGTAATCCCTCCTTTTGGGCTCTCAATCCTGCTCTGTTTCAGCTGTGTACAGATTACCTTCCTCTTTGGGGCTCAATTTCCCATCCACACAGTGAAGGAGAGGTACCATCCAAATTTTTAAGAATGTGCCTGGCTCTAAAGCTATTGAAATAGTGAGCACCTTTTTTTGTAAGTAAGTGTGATCCAGCTATTACTCTGTGTCTCCTGTTTATTGTGCACTTACTATGTGCTAGGCATTGGGCTAAGTATTTGAAAATACATTATCTGTTGACTCTCACAACCACTCCAAGAAGTAAGTGCTATTATCAGTCTAGTTTCACAGATGAGGAGAGTGAGGGGTTCCAGAATGTGTGGTCACACAGTGAGCAGCAGGACTGGGACTAAAACTGCAGTGTAACCACTAGAACCTCTTAATCACTTTGCTCTTTATTTCATTGTCTTTCCCTACTGCATTGGAGGTGCTCAACAAATGTTTGTTCCATTGACTTGGGACCTCAGCCTGCTCAGAACAGGGTTAGGACTTGCCACAGTGTGTTTGTGTCTTCTAGGGAGCCACTGAGTAAGTTACTGTGCACTGAGGAGCCAGTCACAATTGGCCTCTGGCACCTTAAGTTTAAACTCCTGTGTAGCTCTGAGACTTGGTAGGGGCGGGAGGTGAGATGGGTTCTCAGCAGGGAAATGAACTTGCAGTCTTACTGTTCATAACTAGTGTTCGCTACGGGCCAGGTATTCCATTAGTGCTTCATAGCCATGATTCAGTTCTCCCAGTGTCATTTCACAGATGGGGCAGCTGAGCCAGGACTGGCTGTGTAACTCATTCAGAGTCACAGACTAAATGGTAGAGCTGGGGCTGGAGTAGGAATTGGGTGCCTCTTGTTTTCCAGATGCTCTCAGTATGGGAAAATGGCCCTTGTCATTTCAATACCATTAGCACAGGAAAGAGGCGCTGTCCTTACCCAGAAGACTCAGGCTCAAGGGGGTCCAGGACTTCTGAAAATGTTGACAATTAAGCTTCAGCCCCTCAGAAGAGCCTGTGTTGCTGTGGCTGACCAAAGGTGGCGTAAGCAATTGCTGGAGTAGCTTAGGCTGGTAGGAACAGTTTAATGAGAGGAGGTACTTTTGTAGAGTGAATTCTCCATTGTATTTCTTTGTCTTCTGGTCTTGATTCTCCAGATAAGGAGTCAGGGCTCTTGGGTGCTGGCAGCTGCTCTGAGCACGTCACAGAGTAGTTTAAGTGTTCAGTTCTGGAATCAGATATCCTGAGATTTTGATGCTTGACTCTGCCAGTTATATTTTGCATAGTTATTGGTACACAGTAAGCACCCCATTGAACATTAGCCATCGCTGCTGACACCCAATCCAGCCACCCCCCCCACCAGTGAGGCTCCTTGAGAGTAGGTTTCCTGTCCTAGCCATTATTTTATTTCTGGCATCTTACCAAGTATTTACCACTTACTGGGTATCCCACATCTGTTTGGAGAAAAGCTACATCCAGTACATACTGACTATTATGAGCCTCTGCACATAAAGATGACCTCATATCACCTTCAGTGGGGGACACTGTGTTTTTAATAGCATTGGGGGCTGGTTGGCTTGGTTTTATCTGTAACGTCTTACTGAATCCCCTTCATAACCATTTGTAAAGTCAGTCTGGGCTAGGGGTAACAGTCACGGATTAGGTGGAAATGGACCAGCCCAGTCTACATTGGGCTTTAGTCATTCTTTGCTTCATTGAGAAGATGCTGGATGCATGCCTGCCATGTTGCAGGTACAGTGCTTGCCTGCTCACATCTGTCTTGAGCACTCTGCTTAGAACAGACAGGTATTGTGATTCAGTTAACCCAGTTTTAGAAATGAGCTCTCCCCAGTATCTTCTCAAAGTGTCCTGTACACCTCAGGTTGTATTTGGTTGGGCAGGGAAACTGTCTACTGTTTTGGAGTCCCTGAGAACCTTATTCTGATATATCTTAAAATCACAGACTAGAAGAGATAGAAGGGGCTGGAAAGACCTGTTTGCTAACAGATGAGGAACCCAGGACTTGGAGAGCAAATATGGCTTCTTTGTGCTCACTGAGTGGATGGAACTAGAATCCAGGTGCTCTGTTCACATTCCTGTGTGTTTTCATATTCTCCTCCTGCCCTTTGCCTTTGACTGAGGCTGGTGCTAGGAATCCTTTTGAGGTATTTCAGAATAAAGATGAAACAGTAATGAAGACAGTAGACACTGTGTATTGAGCATCCACTGTGTGTTGGGCACAGTGAAGCAGTTTTCGTATATGAGCTCATTTAATTCTCACAGTGACATCTTATCAGTCAGGTACTATTTTTCTTCCCTTCATATAGCTGAGGAAACCAAGGCACAGACAGTCCATAGTCCATGTAACCTGCCCAAGATCACCCAGCTAGAAAGTGTCAAAGCTATTTTATTTTACTTTTTTAACTTCTTATCATGGTGATGTTCAAGTGTAATCAAAAGAAGAAGACAATATAATGAATCCTAGTTTGGATAATTATTATTATTTTGCCATTCTGTTTCATTCCACTTGTAGACCCCCTCCATTTTTCTGGTTGGAAGTTCAAGCAGTCTGACCCTGAACCACTCTGCTGCCCTACTGGTGCCCACTTGGTCTCTTTTGTTCTCCAATTGCTCTTGGTGTTGGAAAATGGTCCAGTTCATCAAATACCATAGCCCAGGCAAAGAGACTGGCTGTCCTTCCCAAGAAGATTCATCAGGGACTCGGGGTACGGTTCACTTCTAGGCCCTTAGAAGAGCCTGCATTACCCTGGCAGACTCAGCGGATACTGCTCTAGGAACAGTTTTAAAACAAATCCCTGACTGACATGTTAGTTTAGTTACTCTGAAGTATTTCAGGATTTATTTCTAGCTAATAAGTTTCTTTCCTTCCTTCTTCTCTTTCTTTCTTTTTTTCTTTTTTTTTTTTTTTTGGTGCCAGTGTATGTGTGGCAGTTCTGGAGTTTGAACTTTGGGCCTTGCACTCTCTAGGCAGATGCTACACCCATACTCCTTTTACTTTACTTATTTTTTTAACTAGGGTATTGTGCTTTTGCCCAGGCCTGCCTTGGACTATGATCCTCCTATGTCTACCTCCTGGATCACTGGGATTGGATACATGAACCATTATGCCTGGCTTGGTCTTTGAGATAGGATCTCACTTGCTTTTTGTTTTTAAGCTTGGACTGGCCTCTAACTGCCATCCTCCTATTTCTGCCTCCCACATAACTGGGATTATAGGTATGCATATTTATGGGCCCTTACAGTGTTCCTTAAGCGGGGCTTGATCTCATGTTCTTCACCCATTAGCCTCTTGAATAGATGGGATTACAGGTGTGAGATACTCTTTTTGTTTCCTTTAGTAAAACACAGAATATGTTACCTAACAACGTTAACAGAGGTTTTTGAATATCATTTAACACTCAGACATATTCATATTTCCCTGATTCTCCCTCAAACTATCTTCAGTTGATTTGATCAGGAACTGTTTAAGATCTACACATTATTTCTGATTGAAAAATCTCTTCAATTTCTCTTAATCTGACGTTTCTTGTCCTCCCCCTTTTAAAATGAATTTAGTTGTCGAATGTTGACTAGGGCCATTCCACTTACACAGTTTTCCACATTATGAATTTGGCTGCTCAGGGCCAAATGATGCTTGGCATGTCTCTGTCTTGAGCATTCTGGGAAATGGTGGTTAGACCTAGGAACCGGACAGCGTCAGGGCCACACAGCTGGACTTTGCTTCCTTCTCCCTCAAGGTGTTTTTTGCCACTAAGCGTTGTAGGTGGCATCGTATGTCACATCAATATAAAGCCAAGGTTTGTTATCTACATGGCCTCTCAGTATATAAAACCAGCCTTGGATAGTTCTCAGGTTAGTCCTTGTTCAGATAGAATTTATTTAAAATGAGTATGCACCAGCAAATAGGATCACAGTGTTTACAAAGCCAGAGAACACTATGGATTTGTTTGGGCCGTGGCATGCAGAGCGTAACAAGATCCAGGAAGGACATTGACTTGATCAGGGCCACACAGCGGGAACTGATGAGCAGAGACCCAGACCCTGTCTCTAGAATCCCAGCCTAGTGGCTCCGTGTGCCTCAGCTTTTTTCCTGTGTAAACTTGCCAGTTGCAGGGGCTAGAAATCCAGCCCAAAGTGGTGTAAAGAGACAGAGAAAGAGAGATTGATTAGCTTATGCTAAAAAGTTCAAGAGCAGATTCCTTTAGGGATAGCTGTATCCAGGAGTTCAGATTTTATCTTGGGACTTTATCTTGCCATCTCTCAGCTCTGCTTCTCTCTGTGCTGGTTTGGTTTCTAGATGGCAGGTGGAAAATGGTGATAGGTCAGGCCTGGCTAATAAACTACCCCTGATGCTTTGGAGGGGCCCTAGGGTTGGTCCTACTATGTCATTGACGACATGTAGAAGGAGGGTCCCCCAAAGGGAAATTATGCCAGTCTAGAAGAGAAGGGACCTGGAGGGTGCAAACAGAAAATAGTTGTGTCATATAAAAGTCTCCAGCTCTTCTCTGAAGCTGACATCTGGGTTTTGGTTACAGGTGCACTCTCTGCAAGCCACATTTGGGACCTTTGAGTCCATCTTGAGAAGCTCCCAGCATAAGCAGGACCTCACAGAGAAAGTTGTGAAGCAAGGAGAGAGTGAGATCAACCGGATCAGTGAGGTTCTGCAAAAGCTGCAGAATGAGATTCTCAAAGACCTCTCAGATGGGATCCACGTGGTAAAGGACGCCCGGGAACGGGACTTCACATCCCTGGAGAACACTGTGGAGGAGCGGCTGACAGAGCTCACCAAGTCCATCAATGACAACATCGCCATCTTCACTGAAGTCCAGAAGAGGAGCCAGAAGGAAATTAATGATGTAAAGGCCAAGGTCGCCTCCCTGGAAGAATCCATGGAGTACAAGCAGGACTTGAAAGCCCTAAAGGCAGAGGTAGAGGAGATCCAGACCTCTACAAAGTCCAGGGAGAAGGACATTGAGACTCTCAAAAGCTCCCTGCAGACCATGGAGTCTGACGTCTACACAGAGGTCCGGGAGCTAGTGAGCCTCAAGCAGGAGCAGCAGGCATTCAAGGAAGCTGCGGACACGGAGCGCCTTGCCCTGCAGGCGCTCACCGAGAAGCTACTCCAGTCTGAAGAGTCCACCTCCCGTCTTCCTGAGGAGATCAGGAGGCTGGAGGAAGAGCTACGCCAGCTGAAGGCTGAGGCCCACAGGCCAGAGGAAGATGGCGGCTTCAAAAACTCGGATGCCTTAGATGTGCTCCAGAAAAAGAGTCAGGGACTGGACTCCAGGCTGCAGAATGTAGAGGATGGAGTCCATTCTGTGCAGGTGACTTCTGCGCGCAACACGGAGAGCCTGGAATCACTCCTGTCAAAGAGCCAGGAGTACGAACAGCGCCTGGCCATGCTTCAGAGTCGTCTGGAAGGCCTGGGGTCCTCATCCGAGGCAGACAAGGATGGCCTGGCTTACACGGTAAGGAGCTTGGGGGAGGCCCAGCTGGCACTCTACAGTGATGTGGAGGACCTGAAGAGAAGTGTGGGCGAGCTCCCCAGCACTGTGGAGTCGCTGCAAAAGGTGCAAGAGCAGGTGCACACACTGCTCAGTCAGGACCAAGGCCAGGCCTCCCGTCTGCCTCCTCAGGACATCCTGGACAGACTTTCTGCTCTAGACAACCTGAAATCCTCAGTGAGCCAAGTGGAATCGGACTTGAAAATGCTCAGGACTGCAGTGGACAGTTTGGTTGCTTATTCGGTCAAAATAGAAACCAACGAGAACAACCTGGAATCAGCTAAGGGCTTACTAGATGACCTGAGAAACGATCTTGACAGGTTGTTTGTGAAAGTTGAAAAGATTCATGAAAAGATCTAGATGAGTTGTGTGCTGGGTGCCGATTTGTAGTCCAATTTTTCATGACCAAAAAATGTATTGTTTCCTCCCATGTGCCCTGCCCCAGTTTCTTGTCTCCCCTTGAAGAATGATAGACACTATTTGAACACCAGGCATTGTGTTCTGGGCCCAGTTAACTTATTTGCAGTTGTTACCACATACATTGGTTTCTTAAGCCCACTGCTTCTGTTTTTGTTTGGTTGGTTTCCTGAAGGGCAAGCCCCTGTGTGTAAGAGGTGGCTTTTAGAAGGGATGTGTCTCTTGTCAGAAAAATGACAGTGGCTTCAACTGAGGGTTAACAGAAGCAGATTAATTCTAACCTCAAAAAAAAAAAAAAAAACCCTTGTCTGGCCGACAGATTTCAAGTTAAAAAAAAAAGGGGGAGGTGCTTTTTTTCTAATTGTCTAAAGAAAATTCATTTTACTTATTTTTTTATATTCTTGGCTGAAGTTTTTATGAGCTTTCTCACTTGTTGTCTTCCACTTAAAACTGGTTAAAACTCATAGATGTCAGCTCTGAATGGGGAGGGGTAGGCCCCTCATTTTCATTTTAAAAGAATCAGCTACTGGAGGGTCACTTCCAGAGGTGAGGTGTCTTTTTCCATTCCTGAATCTTCTAGTGATTTCAAAGGTAACTATGCAAAGAATCCAGAGGGTTCTGAATGTGAAAGCACAGTGCCCAGAGGCTGGTGCCCTTCAAGCCCTCTGTCCCTGGTGACTTGCCTGACCTGTACCAGCTCTTAGGAGGATCACCAAGTAATGCATAGGTTTAGGATTCCAAAAAGGAGAGTCTTTGGGTTCTTCCAAGAAATGTATTGTGAGAGCTGTCCTCAAAACAATGGGGTGTCTCCCTGGGGAATGTAGGCCAAATCTCTTATTTTAACATGATGTTCATAGAGAGGTCTGCTATGGGCTGACCCTATCTGTCATTGAGGATGTGTGCACTGCATTTCTGTAATTGTTTGCTGTATCCCTTTCTCTTTGAGCTGTATTGTTCTTTAATGGCTATCTTGCCCTTACAAAAGGAAAAAAAGAGAAAAAAAAAGCCGTAAAGCAAAAGAAAAAAATGTTCGTTTAGTTTACTGTGAAATGAACTGTATGGCTTATTTACAGTATTTTTAATTCTTAATAAACACTTGAGCTTTGTTACAACTTTTCCAGAGTGTCTTCTTCTGTGGATTTAGTAATTATGATGTCTTTTATTTATTTTTTTTTGGTGGCACTGGGGTTTGACCTCAGGGCCTCAGCTTGCTAGGCAGGCGCTCTACCAGTTAAGTCACTCTGCCAGTCCTGTTTTACTTTGGATATTACTGAGATAGAGTCTCCTGAACTATTTGCCTGGCTGGCTTCGAAGCGTGATCCTCCAGTTCTCTGCCTCCTAAGTAGTGAGAATTAATAGGTGTGAGCCACTGGTGCCTGGCTAGTTACGATGTATTTTATCAACAGGCAGTACTCAGGATTAGAGAAGACTTTTATTTTAAATTCTAAAACTAAGATGGTCTCACTCCTGGACCTGGGAATGTTCCTTTGCTGTACTGTTAGTGGTCTGCTTAGAGGTTATTGTTTGTCTACAACTCTTGTTAGCTTTAGCAGAGGAATTCAGCCTATTAGAAGCTTCTGGGGAGAGTGAAAAAATGCCTGGGCCCTGCCCGCAGGGGTCCTGCTTGAACCAGTATAGGTAGAGGCTAGCACCCACATTTGAATGGCTCTCTAGCTGATTCTAACTTGCCACCAGAGAACCACTGAGCCCATTTTAGCAACCTTAATCTTGAGACCCAGTGCATATTTGGGTCTGTTTTCTCTATTTCCCTCCACCACCCACCACCTCATAATAACAGAAGGTGTTACTCAGTAGAGTACCTGTGTGCAGGTATTGCGGTGAACACTATGTAGACCTCTGTTTACCCTTCCTTATATTCCCTGAGATAGGCAGTATCATTCCCCTTTCCACAGAAGGGAAGTAGGATCAGAAGCATCATGCAAGGTTATAGAAGAGGTTTGACCCCAGCCCCTGCTCTTCATGTGAGTTTCCTCTGCCATCCAGAGGCAGTGGAGGTCCACACTGGCCTTTTTCAGAGTTTGAGGCTTCAAGGAAGTCTTATTTGCCCTACCCCCAGGAGGAGAAGGGGACAGGGGAGCACAGGCTTTGTGCTCTACTATAGGCTGGAGGGCCCTTCATTTCAGGACTTTTCCATTAGTTATCATGGATTTGCAAGGCAGTAGTATCAAGGCTTTACAACTCTGAGCACTGTCTTTCCTAGTGTATAAATCAGAACAGGTTCTTTAAATTGTTTCAATTTTAACTTCAAAGTTTTTGTTTTAAAATTTAATTTTTGAATCATTTTAGAGTACAGGAGTTGATATGTAAGCATCAGTAGCTACTTCTGCCCTCTTGGTAAAGGGTGCTAAACAGTACAATGGAGAAAATTAAGTTCTGTTCCCTTCTCAGAACTGTTGGTTGCATTGGCTATACTCTTGCTCTTTCTCCTGCCGTCATTTCTACAGCCCTATCCTCAGACTGTGGCATGCAGTTAAACAGATCCTCATTTAATACGGTAGAAAACATACAAGTGTCAGATAAATAATCAAATAGTTCAGATGCTAAAAGCGAATGTGTACCATATTCTTGATGGTAGAGCATTTAGAGATAGGTCTAACCCCAAGTAACAATTACAGTTGAGTCTTGTTGATTTGTTGGCTCATTTATTCATTCATCAACAAACATTTATTGGACTCATAGCCAGACATTTTGCTAAATAACAGTAAATTAAAGATGCACAGGACATGATCCTGACCTCAGAGGTCTTACAGCCCAGTCGTGACAGTCATGCAAATTGGTGTATTAAGGAATTAAGGGTGCTGCTAGGAATAATATGGGCCAGGTTAGAAGACCTGTGCCTTCCTAGAGAGTGGATTTTATTCTGACAATGGCAAGGCATGCAGCAGGGAGTTACCATGCTCAGAGCTAAAGGGCTTTTAGATTGCCCCTCCCTCCACCTCCCAAGAAGGATTAGGGGAGAGCAAGATGGGGACAGAGACACCAGAAGACTTGGTCCAGGCTGGACCTGATGAGACCTGAGTGAAGGCCTGAAGGTGAGTGTTGCAGATGAATTTCAGAGCTTGTCATTTAGGTGTTGCTAAATGCATGTGGGGTGAGAGAGGGAGAGGACCCTAAGAAAATGGCCTCCCCAAATGAGAGAGGATATAAGGAAGGCAACTTGTATTTTGGGATTGTATTCATCCCAGACCTGGGATGCCCAGGTCTAGAGCTCAGCAGAGGGGGAAATGGAGGAAACTGCCCAGAGAATAAAGAGTGGCTATAAAAGAAAGGGAGGAAGGAAAGTAATGGGGGTAATGGGTAAGGGTAAGGAAATCTAGAGTGGAGAAAATTACCAGGGAGAAGCCAGTCTGTGGTCATGAACAGTGTTTTGTCATTGTTTTTGGTGGGGCTGGAGTTTGAACTCAGAGCTTCAGGCTTGCAAAAGCAGGTGCTCTACTACTTGAGCCACACCTCCAGTCCACCAACCCATTTTGCTCTGGTTGTTTTAGAGATGGGGTGTCAGATCTATTTGCCTGGACTGGCCTTGAACCACAATCCTCCGGACCTCAGTCTCCCAAGTAGGTAAGATTACAGGTGTAAGCCACTGGCACCTGGCTGCAAGCAGTGTGGGTTTAAGAGTTAGCCATGCTTTACTAGGTGACTTTTTTTATAATAAAATTTCCCTAATCAAAGTACTAATTTAATCTCTGATTCCTGGCCAGGCCCTAACTCATACAGGAGGCAGTTGTGACAAGGAAAATATGCTGTCCCTCCCTAGTGGTTTCCAGTCATGTCTATACCATTACTTCTGAGCTGGTTGAAGGCCAGGCTGGAAATGGAATGACTTGGGGTAAACCCTTGAGATTTGTCATATCTTCCTGACACCTTGGCTGCAGTGAAGGGCAGCTGCCATTGACTGACGCCTCAGTCTTCAGCTGTCTACATCAGACCCACTACTGCCAGAGTGTGATGTCAGGCATGTCCATCTTTTAATTTCTCTATCTCTTTTTTCTTATCTGCAAAATGATGGAATTGCCCAGAACAGTGGCTCTCAAATTTTAGTATGCACAGCATCACCTGGAAACCAATTTAAAACACAGATTGCTGGACCCCCACCTCCAGAGTTTCCAGCTCAGTAGGCCTGGGTGGGGTAGGAGAAATGAAGAATTTCCATTTCTAACAAGCTTCTGTTCATTCTGATACTGCTGGTCTGGGGACCACAGTTTGAGAACCACTAGACTAGATGATTTTTAAGACTAAAATCAGAGGGAAGATCAAATTTCTATGGTGCCAGGTGGATTTATTTCCACCTAGAGGGAAGAGGTGCAGGAACAGACAGCTATACGCTAAAAATAAATATAAAAATTTTATTTATTTACTTTTATTGTTGTTGTGCTGGGGTACATTGTGACATTTACAGAAGATCTTACAATATATTATAGTTGAATTCACCCTCTCCATCATTCTTCTAAAAATTGTATTTAAAGAGTCCCATTTCACTTTTTTCATTACAAGGATCACTGTGAATGAATACATTAAATGACTTTTTACTTCAACATAGCTGTAGGAATTCTGCAAAGTCATTTTCTAGACTTTTTCTTGTATATACATTCATGTAATTTGCCACTTGCACAGTATTAATTCTCAAATCTCCATGTCTAGCTTAGACCATACCTCTGAGCTACTGTTTTTCCACTAATACCTTGATGCTTCCCTCCCCAGCCATCTCACTTGGTTCCAGACCAAACTCATTCTCCTCCTGCCCACCAGTAAATGGAACCACTGGTCCCCTCATTGCTTAAGCCAGAACCCCAGGATTCACCCTGTCTCACTGCCCCTCTCTCCAATTAATTCCCTATCTCCTAGAGTTGAAGCCTGGCATACCCTTCATCATTTTCCCAGCCTTCTCTCCTCTCCAGGGCCAGATGGTGCCTGCGTTCCAGCTATATGCTCTCACTTTGCTCTCTTCAGGACAAGGTCAACTGAGCTCAGAACTGTGGCTCATGTGCTCACTCATCAATCTATAATATTCAGAAAGCACCACTGTTTACTGGACACTGAAGAGACAACCACTACCAAGACAGGATCCTGTCTTTCTGGCACTCAGGTCCAGTATGGAAGAGACCATAAGTAAATAAGGAAGCAGGTGCCCAGAGCCTGTGACTTCTACCTGTAATTTTAGCTACTCAGGAGGATCGTTGTTTGAAGCCACCTGGGCAAAATAGTTCGTGAGACCCTATCTTGAAAAAAATTCCATCATAGAAGTGGGCTGGTGGAGTGGCTTAAGGTGTAGGCCCTGAG